CTAAATCAAAGATGTCGCCACTATTATCGAAATTGGAATTAAAAAAGTCTGTACTATCGACCTTGATTGAGTTGGGTAATCGGTTTAGCATCCCCTTAACGGGCTTGTTTTCTATTGTTACTATTATTTCAGAAATATTAGCGAAATATTGAAAAACAATGTATAGCCAATGTAAGACATTGCATAAAAATTGAATCCCCCCCCTGGCGGAAAAAATTCTACAAGCAATTATATAGTTTTATTACTAATTTACTCATTTCTAAAACGAAATAGGAAATACTACAAAATACTAGAAAATACTACGAAAATAGTAAATGACGTAGTAAGATGTAATTTCTCATCAAAAAGTACAACTTTTCAGAATATATAATGAACTTCTACAGCCGAGATGTAATTTATAGTTAATTCTCATAAAAATTGGAACTCGTAAAATATTGTAATAACATATAGTTTCGCGTGATAAATTATTACAAGTCTTCAAAATATACAATGAATTTCTACAACCGAGGCGTAATTAATCGTACTTTGGCATTAAAATTATAATTTTTACTCAATTATAATTTTTAACGATTGTTTGAAGTATACATAAGACGACATATTGTGACACAATAATATGTTGTAATTTGTCCAAATGTATCTATAATATTTAACGTAATTCTACGTATTGCTTATTCAGCTAGTATATTAACTACCAAAGTAGATTATTGTAAAAGTTTGTAGCATTAAAACTAATCTCGACTAAAATTACAACTTTTAATGATAAATTATTGCAACAATCAATATTATACTTACAAATAAAACATCGTTATAATTATTTGAAATATGTCTCGTATGTGTTAATAATCAGTCTGTAGGTTTAAACACAACTCGCGAAATAAGAAACACAATTTTTCATAATATACATTATCTTTATTTGTATCACAAAAATTAGTAACAGATATTATTAACAAAATTGAGAAGAAAATAATATCGATATTAATCGCTAAGATATCCTTTCGGTATGTCACTAATATAGTATTTATCATTCAACTTCATCATGATACAGTGGTTTCGAATAAACGCAGGTGAACAATTCTTCAATGAATTGCCGTTGATGAAACATTCTCTGATGTGAGTTACGCTTACATCATTGGTTACAAGATACGGTTGAGATGATACATTAATTTTTCGAAAAAACACAACAACTTTTTTAATTACTCAATAATTTTCAATAACCTCATAAGAACATATATTTGTAATTATACCTTTTGTGTCGTCTTGAGTAACAATGATAGAATCATTGGACTTGTTTGCTCGCGTGTAAGTTTCACTTGTGAAACGAAATCCGTGGTAAACATTTTATTGAATACTTTACAAGCACTTATAGCACTTCCAAAACAATTTTTTCTTCTAAAGTTAAAATATAATCTTTACCTGTCCCAAGTAATACACAATCGTCAATTTTACAAACATATTTCAATCTGTTTTGAAAATGATCTGCACAAAAGCCTATGAACCTATTACCATTTGGAAACTTTTCGAAGTGTATGGGCAGTTGTTTATAAAAGAAATACCTCCTTGCAATCTGTACAGCTATAAGATACGGACTAGTCTTCATCTGAAGTATTAATCTATTTTGATTTTCAAAAGGGAAAGTATTATGAGTCCACAAAGGTCCCCAGTTCTTTACGCTCGTACTTAAATGTAAGAGCAAGTGCACATTGAACGTCATAGATGATTTTCCAAAATATTTTTGAAATCGAACCACAAATTTAATTAGCAAATTATGAGCATAATTAAGACTTTATATTGTTACGGATTTTTCTAAGAATATCTGAATAGCAGTTATTAATAGTGCCACATGCCGCAAATATTTAATAGGAAGTAATCCCCGCAGGCATATTAACATATACCATATTAGCCAGGAACACTATTCCGAAGCTTTCCAACATTTTCGTTCTTCAAGTGTTCTTGGTGATCGTGTGATACATGTTGGTGGTTGAATAGAAGTTAGACGCTGATTTATTACAGCTAACTGATTTGGCGAACCAACATAATATTCTTCCCCTCGTGACGTTAATATAATTTCTGTATATTGCCAAGTAACTCCTAATAAAACAGAGTGCATATAATTAGGCACCATTCCATCTACCAAGTCAAATTTTTCTAAATTTATAAGTACCGACGGATTCTTGATTCCCTTGATTGACGGACCTTTGATTCCCTTATTTATGATTGGATGAATTCCATCATTTAACGCATTTTGCATTAGATATCTTATAGATGTATCTGTGCGATTTGGAGGTACACATGTTGACATAGTATATCGACGATATCCATCAACGCCTTCGGTAGGATGTTCGCAAAAGTTGCATCCGTAAAAGCCATTAAAACGAATCATATTCAAAATACAAGGTCGGGCAACAGAATCTACACAGCAACATATAGGGTAGACTTTACTGGTAATAATTTCGTTGTTCAGATTCCATTGCACACCGTTTCGCGCCAAAGAGTTTGCTTCATTGACGAATGGTTGTGTTATAGCCGCAGCTATAACCATTTATCAAATAGAAATAAGGCTACTTAGCAACAGATACGCAGTAATTAATTGGGAAACTAGGTTATTCCGCAATTGAACTAAATACCACTGACTACCGAAAAGTCAGCGTACTCATTGCCTACTTTAGTTCAATTGCGAAAATACAATCTTGCGGAAGCAGCACGCAAATAATGCAAGCTGTTCTTCGCAAGTTACAGAAAGACGGAAGCTATTGCCCGTCAGATTTGGAAATCAGGTTGCAAGTGTCAGCAATGACCACATTAAAAATTAGAGCAACCGAAATCCGCTCGAACAGCTGACCGAAGTACAAGTCCAGTCAGCAGTTCGAGCAAGTATATTAACCGTGACATACTGACAAACGAGAGAGTCTAATATCAGCTGTTACTCGAGATAACGCCCGTACGCCAACAGCTCTAGCGAATAAAATATAAGTCGTCCGATTAACTAAGTCAACGCGAACGCGGACTTATCTAATAAACCTAAATCGGGCCGACGCGAAATCGTAATAATACCTGTCAAGTGTAACCTATAATTGTGAATTGTGAATATTAATTGAGTCACTAAATGTTATTAAAGTGTTTTGTTTTGTATTGAGTGGTTTATTGGTGCGTCCTGGTCCTCGGCGAATCCCCTACCTGTATCCTTCACC